TATCCCTATTATATATATAATATAGTTATTGTCATTCTGATAATAATCAGAAATGATTGTTGAATAACAAAATTAGTTAGCCCCCTAACTGTTGGAAGGTAGGTTGACTATACAGAAATGAGTAATTTGAAAACAATTAGAAATCCATTTTGACCCTACTTTCCGTAATTCAACACAAAATTTGGATTTTAAATTTTTTTGTAATTTTCATATTGATGTCCAATTTTCAATTAATGGTTCTAAATAAGAAGCTACGAAAATAATAAACTCGTTATAATGTAACAATAAGAATGAAAAATTTGATATTTATTATGAATGAATTGATTTCATCGTCTATGACTATTTGTTTCGTTATTCCATTTGGATCCCTGGACATCGGCGGCGGATGAATACTCTCATGAGAAGTGTTCAAGTGATTTGGCACATTTGATTCCACTAAGAGCGGTATATATGGCCATACCTGGATATCTCTCGAATACTTTACTATCAACTCTGGTGTTCCCTAGGGATCCATATTGTCACCAACCTACGTTTTATTATCAACGACTTATTGGATGAAGAATACAATATATTGTTTGGGAAAGAAAGTTTTTGGCTTTCTACTACTCCATCTGATACAAAAAAAGGGCAAGTGTCTTAAGGCGAAACACGTGTATACCAGTTAGGGTGACAGTGTTCCATGTGAGTACAATTTATTACCATTCATTCAAAGTAGAACATTATATTCGATAAAATAATTACCAATTTAAGTTAGTTCAATATATTTATTTCTGTAACTTCTTATTCGGAAGCAATAATTGAGAATCGGACTTCAGTATGTAAAAAAAAAATATAATTTCGAATTTGGCGTTGAAATTGGGTATATAGGGTGGAAAACGATTCCCAAGCAACTTTTTCAAATAACTTGTTTTGGAAATCTAACGCGAAACAAAATATCAAGAATTCGCTCTTTTTGCGGGATCGCAATAGGCTGGGTTTAAGGCTGTCACTCGAGCTAAGTATTGCGTAAAGTGCGGCCTATGATGGTCTATGCCTGTACCAAAAATAAAATACCGGCTTTCAAAAATGACTGAAATACAGGAGTGTCTCCATGTTGAGTGTAACACACTGTATAAATATTATTTGAAACTTTTTACTTTTGATGATCTGAATAAGATAAATTTCCAGATGGATAATATGATGGAAGGCATAGGCAACTCGATTTTCGTGTCATTATCTCTGGGACAGATATTCATTTTCTCTTACTGCTGTCAAACATTATCTCTAGAGGTGAGTGTTCCCAAATTCATGGATCCGTTATAAATCTAGAACAGAAAAACAACAAACACACAAAACTACCTGTTTTATGCAAATTCGTCAACTTATTGATTATTTGCTGTATCTGTATCTGTAGATTAGGGATAATGAGTGTCGACTCACAGCACTTAGACCACATGTGACCCGTTGTACATCCTCCCGAGGAGTTGTCTTCCTAGGTCATCGTCCATCCTGTCCTTTTCAGGAAGGTGGACAGGTCACTAGGAGACATCTCCGTTATATTGACAGGTGTAGGCCGCACTCACACTCTCTTCGTCAACCTTGAGGTATCTCACGGTGGCCTCCCCGAAGGTTTTGGAAAGTGCAGCGACATTACTGTCATTCTGTGGCTTCTTCAACCTTCTTGGGGTTCCCTCCGTGGAGGTGCACAAGTGAGGGAGCTTACTGGCAGGGGCAGCTGGTTCCTTGCCTTTACTAAAGGCGAAGCTCTTGGCGTCCGCCGCAGGTAGTGCCCTTGCTGTTAGAGGTGGAGTGGAGGAGGGTGCACGTATAGTTGCTGCCACTGCTGCTTCTTTCCCTCTCTTTCTCCTTTTGGCCTCGGCGCCGCAAATGCGCTTACGTCTTGTCCTTTGTATTACGTCACGAGGTGATCTGCTATGTTCAGCCTCATTCCAAGCGGTAGATTGGGGTGGATATTTCTGTTCATCTTCAGCCATCGCCTTAGATTGAGGTGAGCACTTCTGTCCAGCCTCGGGATTGGTTGTTGTTTTTGTTGTTTCTGTTTTTGTGTTTGTTTCATCCATGTGTGTTCCTACAAGTAGCAAGAAAAGAGTTGGTCACCTCTATCATTACCAGAGGTAGGCTGATTACAATGAGGTTTCGCCCAGTTTCCCAAGGGGATTGTTGGTGACCGCATATCACCCTGCGGCCATTCAGCTGTCGGCACGATTTCTTACACCTTAGCTTGGGTAGGCTGGTCCCCGGTGGCATGTTTTGCAATGGCTTTTGGAGAGTTTTAGTTCCCTCCACCCTACTTATTTCTGCCACTGACCGGGAGTCCGGCGACCCCGTCCGTAAGGCCACATTGGCTTCCCGGACAGGTCCTCCAGTCCCCTGGCCGTTCCCCTAAAAAATGGACTCAGTGCTGCATTCAATGTCAATGAAATCCATCCATCCATCAGCTGATGGAATGACAGAGATTTCATCGCACAATGAAGGCAGCACTGACGTGTCATGAATCAGAAAAGTGGACGGACCTTCTTCCTACAATTTTACTGGGAATCAGGGTTTCAGTAAAGAACTAAATGCAGTGTTCAAGTGCTGAATTGGTGTAAAGAATAACCCTGAGGATCCCAGGAGAACTTATAATAGAAAGGACTGTTACTTTCACTACTCATCAACAGTTTCTCCACAATCTTAGAGAAAACATGATGAAAATTAGAGCAACGCCTGGAAGTAATCACTATAAACGAAAAGTATTCTTGCATAACGAAATATCAACTTGTTCCCATGTGTTCATCAGAGTTGACACTGTTGAAAAAGCCCTTCAAACACCTTATAATGGACCATTCAGGGTGATTAACAGAAACGAAAAATATTTCACTCTATTAGTCAATGTAAACATAAAAATATTAGTATTGACCGTTTGAAACCAGCTTTTGTTGAAGAATACGAGAGAGAGAGAGAACTGAAGAAAGAACATGTGAAACACAAAGGATACAGAGAGGCACCAAAAAAATTGTTCATTTCGAGTGACCATCTTCACTGGAGGGAGAGTACTGTGGTGACCATTCTGGCTCCTCTGGTGACCTGTAGATATATTTTATTGTAAAAAACAAGATAGCATAAGGTTGTCGTAATAAGAAAAATCAGGTTGTTAAAAACTGATTATTTCATAAACTAACATTTTGAATAAAAGTATTTTGAGTTGTTCTAAGCAAGAATCAATTCCATACAATGATGTTTCGCCCACTACCCCAAGGAGATCGTTCGTGACCACATATCACCCTGCGGCCATTCAGCTGTCGGCATGATTCCTTACACCTTAGCTTGGGTAGGCTGGTCCACGGTGGCATGTTTTGCGAAGGCTTTTGAGGGGTTTCAGTTCGCCTCACCCTACTCATTTCTGCGATTGACCAGGAGTCCGGCGACCCCGTCTGTAAGACCACATTGGCTTCCCAGACAGGGCCTCCAGTCCCCTGGCCGTTCCCCTATACGCCACCTGGGGACGCGCCCGATAGAAAGCCCAACCCACGGGGATTATTTGGTGTAAGTGCTAACTAATTTAGAGTAAGGTAGAGCTGAAGCCACTGCTCATTGTTCACAGGTTTCTCCAAGTTTCACTGTTTTTGTTGAAATGATAACCTCTCAGTTGCAGGAAGTTGGTATATCTATGTATAATCTTCAGTGGACGGACTATCCACTGAAAATTCAACGCAGTTTGAGGTTTTCAATAAGAAGATCACAAAAGCCTACTCATATAACAGCTGGAAAAACCATTATTATTGACCTCTTGTTCTTCATACAGGTGAGATTATGGAGTCGTAACAAAATCATTTCACTTGAATTCATAACAGTGGATTTTGAATTTCATCAGTTCGGACTTCTATTGTCTAAATGATAACCTCTCAGTTGCAGGAAGTTGGTATATATGTTTGGACTCATCAACATAACATCAAGTGGGCTCAAGCTGAAATCATCCACAAAAGAGGAACACTGGTTTAGGGGAAAATTCAAAGAAGCCGCGTATATGTTGTTCAACAACGCATTTAGTCAAGCTAAGATAGAGATACGTAACATATGGAAACCTCTAATCAAACGAAAAACGACCAACTCCCGCCAAACGGTCATCTCCCACTGAAAAACCAATGAAAGAGAGATAGGGAAAAGATGATAGGTGAAAGCACTCGAGTGGCCTATAAATAGTCGGATTTCGGAGGAATAAGTCCAATTATCATCCGAAGACGACTGTTGATACTAACAATCGAAACGTCGTGACATGAATTGTTTTGAAACCTTTTTTTATTTTTCATTTTTGTTAATAATAATTTTTAATTTTCAGCTTTTATTAATATTTCAATTTTTATTTTTTGGTTGTTGTTTGGTTGTATGTTATTTCTTTGTAATTTCAGTTTTTTGTTCGAAAAAAATTGTTATTTTCGGTTAGCTTTTTAATATTTTTCCAGGAATTTCAAATCAATTTATATTATATCAGACAATGGAAGTCCGAACTGATGAAATACACCACGAAACATTGTCAACCACCTTCAAACAAAAGTGGATTTTGATCTGATGCAAAACTTGTTATTGTTCTTTGTTTCAGGTCATTCAGAAGTCATATTCATTTTATACTTTGATCACCAACACCAAGAATCAGGCAGTGTAGGATTTGACAGCTGATAATTTTATGCTCTTTGTAACATTCACAATGAGAAAAACACCTACTTATGTATCATTGAAGATGTAGTACTTATAGAACCATTATGTAACGAGTATATTATGTAGTAACCTATCAAAATTTAAGAAATTATGTAGTAACCTACCAAAATCAAAATAAATCAGATCTGTAAGTCTCAACCTCCCATTCTATTTGAGTAATTTCAGAGGATAGGTATCTCGTTAAGATAGGCAGGCTATAGTTTTTACATAAGATAGTTTTTTACAAACGCAATTTGACGTATTCCAAGATTTTTCTTCAACCTTGTCAGTAACGCATGAATTCATTCGTTGCCATTCAACTGCACTGTACTAATTCCTGGTACGAAAAAACTCATGTTGGTATTCTTGCACTTGTACTAACGCTGCTGTTCTTCAGAAAATCTTCACATTCCTGGGAATACATCATTTATCATTTGATGATGAATTTCCAAAGCTCCGGCTATCGGGTCGGTTCGACGTGGGTGCTTTGTTCACTCACTAACCCAATTTGCTGCTTTTGTCCTGTACCACCTCCTGGTACTTCCACATCTGGTCACGGGCAAATAAAAGACCTGATTATAAAGGCTATCATCATTTATTTAGTTGGTCATGAAAGATACAAATACACACTGGGTGTGAAACTATAAAATAATATCTACATTAGTACATAATACATAATAGTGAGTTTATAAGTTGTGAAACTGCTGACGTTAGGGTAACAATTCCACTTTTACTCAAACTTAAATATTACTGGTTTTTATCGCCTTTAATGGGTTTGAACTCTCGTTTGAATTCAACAAATCACTATTTTGCTTTCGATATCAACGTGTAGAAGGAATAAACCATCTTCAGGAACTATAACAAAAAAACTTGTTCATGGTGCTTCATTCTCTTATTTTTTACTTACATTAAAAAAAAAAAGTATATCAATCTTTGTCCATTTCCACATAGTGAAAAAAGGTGGATTCTCCAGCCTTGCCAAGGTAAAAATAATTGTCCTCCTTAGTTTGGGTGGATAATTAGGCCAGTCCAATTCATAAAATGCTTGTCGTGTGTTTGAAAACTGAAAGACATCAGCGCCAAATCAATGGGTTAGAAAATACATTGAAAACTAACTACTTAGTACAGAGTGACCCATTTTTAATGGAAACACCCCCCTAAAATTTGAAGTTATAAACCGATTTCAATATTTTTTTTAAACGTCAAGTACTAAAAGGTCTACCTTGGGACAAAATTTGAAATGTTTANGATTACTTTTTAACATCATTTTTGATACTGCACCAGTTTCATTGAATATTTTATTTATTTTATTTACCGTACCGCAGCTAATACGAGGACGATCAGGATGTCTTTCATTAAATACTCTACAATCCTCTCTAGCACTTCTAAAGTCATCTCTCGAAAGGCGTACAATTTCAATTTTCTCTCTTACGCTTAATCTTGCAGACATGACACAAAGTAATTCGAAGAACTGTAAGGTAAATATTATTGACAATAGTACACTTAAATTTTTCACAAGTGTCAAACTATGTTGACAATAGTACACTTGAATCTTTCACAAGTGTCAAACTGTAATAACATTTCCATGGCAACTAAGATTTAAATTGAGATATTAGGTCTTAGTTTTAGTTAATTTGCGTGAAAATTCGAATGTAATTCCGTTATTTAGGCTATTTGTTTTTTTTTCATCTGGCGGCACTTTATTGTTAAAATCATAAAAAAAAACTTCTCATTGCTATATCTGTTGATATAGGGTGTTTTTTGTAATTGTTAGCTGTGTGAGTTTTCGAATTTTTGAGTTGTCATAACTTTGTTAATAATGAATATTTTTTCATGAAATTTTGGTCACACCTGTTTAGAGGCAATCTGAATCCAGTGGCGTCGTGATTTTTTCAATAAAAAAATCGCTAATAAAAAATCCCGATTTTCGACTAAGAAAATATATCGTAGTAAGCCCTGAAACTTTAATAAACATTTCAAAATATACAAAATATATAAAAGGGTTGGGATTTTATACGTTCAGTAATAATGCAAAAATGTGATATGTGAAAAACAGGATGTTATAATCATATTTTTGTATTGGGATGTCATAAAGATGTTAATTGTTTTTATCTTGCACAGACATATTCTCGAGTGTCTGAGCAATTAGTGCATGATAATACGAATTTTATAGTAATATTCAAGCAAGATGAGACAAATCTTCACCGTATTTATTCAGATCATGTGTCACCCGAAATGACATTCAAATTGGGAGAATTAATAAACGAGACACTCAAGAAAAAAATTCATTGATCAAACTCTCTATGTTTTTTACTACTTTTATAATGATATACTACGATGTAGTAACGGATACATCCATCAATTTGATAAAAATATAATTTTATTCAGTACAAATAGATCTCCCTCGGGACAAATACCTGTCACGAATGACTGTTCTAATAATTATTTTGTTGTCAAAAAAGTAGAATTGCATGCTTTTGTGACGTTTGAATATCACAAAAAGATAAGACGTATTTGAAATTCAGTTACTTCTCTAGCCTTGTGTCCTGGGTAGTCAATTTTAATAGTTCCCCGAGCCACCTAGGGAGCATCATGGCTATTCGCAGTCCGTCAGCCATGTAACGTTGCAGGATTATCCTAGCTTCAACTTGATAAATTTTCTCTAGAAAAATATCTGGTTGAGGTTGGGATCGAACTCATATCCTTTCGACTTTCCAATTATTTGTATTTGTATTTCGTGAATGGTTTCAAAATGCGCCTATCTGAGACCCAAAGAATTGAGATATTGGCATTGCTTGGGGTAGTTGATAAAACAAGTAAACTGGTATGCAGAATATTTCATGAGCAATATCCTGACCATCACATTTCCCAGTTTACGGTGCGTAGAACAGATAAAACATTTCGTGAATTTGAAACTGTTAAAGATATTCTCAAAGCTGCGAGATTAAAACTGAAAGACAAGAAATTGGATGTTTTATTATCTTTTAGGAAAATCCAACAGACACCTACAAGAGAAGTAGCTGGTGATAATGATGAATGTAAAACTTCTGTATTCAGAACTGAATGAGGATGATCCTGATAGGAATCCGATGTTTACAAAAATAATTTAACTCTTACATGGAACAGTGAACAAGCAAAATTGTTGGTATTGGAGTACTCAAAATCCGCACTGTATGAGGGACGGTCACACTCAGTACCCTATTAATAATTGGGCCAATTTTTTAGAGGGGCAGTAACTGGGGCGAGTTACTTAGATTTTTCACAGAAGGTTTCAATACCTGATTTATGACAACTTTTCCCTGATCGTATTAACACCGCAGATATCAATTAATACATATACAGGCTGTAACTAAATAAGTGTAAAATATTTGAGGAGATGATTCCTCATCTTTCATACAAAGAAATTTCATTGGAGCATCCCTTGTTAAGATACAGCCCCTTAAAGGAGGTACATGAAATTTGTATAACAATTTTTTTCACAAGCACTAAAAAAGTTACAATATTGAAATTAACCTGACGTTTTGTACTATCAAAAAGACACTTAGTCAGAAATTTATTTGGTTTA